CGAGTCGGTCCCGATTTGGCATTTCTGAACGTTTACAGTAATGGCATGCTTTTGTAATCGTTCGAAAACGAGATCCAGATGCTTGAGATGTGATTCTCTGTCCGGACTTGCGATTAGGCAGTCATCAACATACGCATGTACGAAGTTGAGACCTCGAAAAACGTCGTCTATGAATCTTTGGAATGTTTGAGCAGCGTTTCTTAGACCGAAAAGCATTCGCGAAAATTCATAGAGTCCGAAGGGAGTTATGATAGCTGTTTTCGGTATGTCATCAGTAGCCATAGGGATTTGGTTATACGTCTTAACCAAGTCGATTTTCGAAAAGACAGTTGTGCCTTTCAAGGTAGCTGTCAAATCGTGAATGTGAGGCAACGGGTAACGATTGGGAATGGTTTTTGCATTCAATCTCCGATAGTCACCAGTTGGACGCCAATCGTTGCTGTCCTTTTTAGGGACCATGTGCAACGGAGATGCATAAGGGCTGTTTGACAGTCGTATGATTCCTAAGTCTATCATGTGATCAAATTCGTTTTTTGCTAACCTTAGATTTTTAGGAGCTAGTCGTCGTGCTTTAGAGAATACAGATGGTCCTGTAATCATGATGTGAAGTGTAACGTTGCTGGTTACACACGGTAGTTTCGGTTGAGTTTGTTGTATCCCAGGGTACTTATCGATTAGTGGTTGATAGAGTGGGTCTATCATATGCTTAACTGTGACTGGGGATAATCTACAACCAGTAAAAGAAGTTACGCAAACGGATAAATTAGTGTTTACGTCTACTAGCCTCCGTTTGCGCGTACCGAAGCACATTACAGGCAATTTGAAGGTCGACGCAACGAACCTTCAAGCCACCGACCGGTCGCACTTTTCTCTACGCCCTCAAAAATCATGGAGTCCCTGATATGCAATTGTATACACGACTATTTGTCATCCATAAACTTCTTTTCACTCCATTTTATGAGGTGTTTTTAATAATTTGGCATAAAATTTATAACAACTTGATGCTCTGGTCGTAAAACCTGATACTCTGTGTTACGAATTAGCCTATTTCCCGGTGCGATTTTTATTTTTCCTTGATTTGTTGTACAGTTGCTTGATGTAGATAGATTGAATATTGGAGTTCGCCATCAATACTAAAAGTCTATAGGCTCGGGATTTGCATTTGGCGTAACCTTGTAGGTAACTGTCTGTTTGACATCGTAGTTATTTCAGTTTCACTAATACTAAACTATCAACTCTATTTTAAAGGGCTTATGTTTTGTATTAGTTGCCAAATATTAACAGTCTTTTGTTTTCATTATTCGAGGTAAATCCCGGTAATATTGGGCACTAAGATTTGCATAAAGAAATGAATTTGGGTTGATGAGTCAGTAAGAAATTTCTTTCCTATAAGATAACTTCATGTGCCATTTTATGCACTGTTTGCGGTCTCTAGCCATAATTTTTTTCTGACAACTCCCTCAGTTATTTCTGAATAGTGATTATTCAGAAAATGGACTTTTAAAACGTTTGTCCATAATGAAGTAGAATTTTATATTGCCCAGAACAACCCAATAAATTCGAAATGAGCCTGACTGTGAAAGCCGGTCGTTTTTTAGTTAAATTGTCTCAAGAGATCGCAAGCTGCATTTGCCAAATCGAGTATCGTTCAACTCGAGTAAGAATATGTCCACCGGATTTTGTTTTTTCCATCTTTTCTATTAGTTTCTACCTGCTGATTCTCGGGTTGTCGTGCAATTACTGTCCACACCTAGGTACTTTGGTCTCATTGCTATCTGAGTCATGAATTTTAGGATATGACAGTCAATTATTTTGAATCAGCATAATTCATATAACTGGCAGATGGGTAAAATAAACCGTAAAAATCCTTTTTAACTGTTTATCTGGGAGTAGAGTTTGCCATACAATCCTAAGTTCTTAAAGTCGACAAGCGTTTGTCGTGGATACGGAGGATCCACCTAGGGGAGTTGGAAAACCCTGATTCCAAACCAATGGTGTACATGGACTCCAAGATCCTGAAAGAACAAAAGGCGTATGAACCCATTGTTGGTCACCTGATACCATGAGACTGCATCTCCTTACGTTGCTAAAGTGCCTTGTGGATTAGACCTTTAGGTCAAAGGCTCGTGGTGTAGCCCCTAAGAAAACCACCTGCTTCGGTCTGCGCACCCAGGCATTATCCCAGAGCTCACATAAATCGAATGTTTATGTGGCGCATATCTATTTGGTGCCTCCTTGTACCGATGTTTGTGTTTTAATAAGTACATAATAACCTGTTGGTTGTCACGGGAAAATAGATCGAAATTTTTCCAATTAATGCGGTTCGCTGCAGCGCTACAAATATATTAATTGTAGGCTCAGAAGATCCAATCTAGCGTTTATCCTGGATTCGTATTCAGGACCAGTGTTCCAGCTAAAGTTTTTCCAAAAACCAGGTTGGGTGGAATTTGTAACTTTAAGTTTCTAACAAAAGGAATTCGGTTTAATGGAGTACAAAATATACACCAGGGTGAATAAAATGACAACACTGAGAAGTCTATATCAGGAAAAACCATATGATAGCTATATAAATGAACAAGGGTAGTGCTGTTTAAAGATACAGTTTAGTTAAAGACTATCAAAGTAGATTTTGAAGTTGATTGTACTGGACTATTTGGGGGGGGGAGAGCGTTAAGGTTATTGTTTCAGTCACTGCGATTTTCATAAATTTAAATCTCATTTTTAATTTCAAGGTGGACCTTTTATTTTCAAAGGCAACTCTTGCCTTTAAAAATGGTAAAAAATCCTACTTCAGAATCGTCTTAACAAGTTTATCTTGTGCTAATATGATACGAAAATCTGTGTTGACTCACATTTATCTAGGACTCTGTTAATTATGACTGACTAGCAAACCAGGATCACCACTAGCTTATACTCTAGAACATTTCTTATAACGGTTAAACCCACTAAGTTGCATGAGCATTTGAACCCCATCTATGGGGTCTTGGTGAACCAATACAGTTATCTTTTATTCCACTGTCCCTTGCCGTAACTTGACCGCCCCCACATTTTCCACCCATTACTAGTACAAAAAATGATGTGTAGCGTGGAATTCTGTGGGATATCTGTAAAACCTATTCGTTATTTTTTCATGGTTGTCATTACAGATAGTTTATGAATAATTGGTTAATTATCTTTGGAAACATCCTCCGGTATTTTTTTGCTTCATTTGTTGTCTGAGTGAATTTTATTTCGTATACGCCTAATTCCTTCCACTAATGCACCTAAAATATTTTTACTTTACAAACAATATGGTTAGGGAATTTTTCGCGAAGTTTTTAGGGATTCAATTACATGGAAGCCAGTAGTTGTGAATCAGTACAATCGATAAGTTTTGAGGGGTACTTGATTTTAGTGAGTGAGAAGTGTTTCGATATTGTTACTTTCATATTGATGCTTTGTGGATGATAACATGAGGCGCATTGAGTCATTGTAAACATTCCAAAATTAAGGTAATCAAAACACCATACAAGTCAGCATACACCTGTGTCACTATAGTTTTAGTGCAGTCAGTCAGTCAGTAACAACGTAGAACTTCGTACGTACGTACATCAGTTCGAGTTGCCACGCCACATTAGCACAGAGATGCCGTGGTCGATTCAAATCCCGTAGTCGTAGAGGTAATAAGAGTATAAGCAGTAATCGGAAAGATTAGTGTTTGGAGATGTTACTTAAAGAGTATAATACAGTGAAATAAACTTGGGAAGAGAGAAAAAAAGAGACAAGGGGGAATCAGGAGATCAAAATTTGGGAGAACACAAAGAGTGGATGCACCTGCGCCATTGCAAACGATTTTGAGCTATGTCATTCAAGGTCTCTAACCATCGGTTGCTATCATCTCGCGGTCCCCAACCAGGTAGTCTACACCTACCAACATGCCTCAGACCACTTGTCAGTGACTTCGTGGACTTGTGCCATGTTTTGGTCTGGCCGCCCCTAGCTTTCTTCCAACCTACTCCTATACCACTGAACATCGCATGTCGAGGCAGTTGGTGGTTGGGCATACGTAACACGTGTCCCAGCCATCTCAACTGATGAAGTTTCACCACTTCATCAATTGATTTGCCATCCTTACCTAGTACCCGTTTCCTAACAACTGTGTTACTAACTCGATGGTCCCATGATATACGAGCAATGTTTCGAAGACACCTATGATCGAATACTAGTAACCTACGAATATCCTCTACTCTTACCGGCCATGTTTCATTGCCATAAAGTAGGACGGGACGAACTGCTGCGCAGTAAACCCGTCCTTTGGTTGATAGACGGATATCTCATCTACGCCATAAATGACGCAAGTTGGCAAAAGCTAGTCGAGCCTTCTGTATCCGTGCTGAGATTTCGTCACATACCAGACCACAAGGGCTGATGAGACTTCCAAGATAAGTGAAGCGGTCGACACACTCAACTACTTCACTCCCTATCACTAGTTCGGGTGTCGATGTAACCCAATCCTGAAGCAACATTTTGCATTTCGAGGGAGAGAATCGCATCCCGAACATGCTTGCATTGTTGCTTAGAGTGGTCAGAAGACTCTGCATTTTGTCAGCGTCTTCACCAAATAAAACTATGTCATCAGCATATTCTAAGTCAACAGTGATTTCTTCTATTACCTGCCACTCGTCTTTGTTTGTAACTTGTTTGCGAACGGTTGATGCTAATAAGTATTCAGACTCATATTTCACATTAATCCAACGGTTTCCTAAGCTGTTTAGAAATTTTGGTTTTTTCAGTGAAACTGGATTTAAATTCCAAGTTCAAGCTCCTACTTAGTTGTTTAATGAATAACGTTTTAAACTTATGCGTATGTTACTGACTACTTTCTTGTTTTTTTTTGTAGATTTTTTAAAAAACAAATGCTCATGTATACTACCTTTATTTGATTGACTACCTCGTTCCATATCAGTTTTATTGAGTCAATATTTTCACCATTAAGAAGTCTCCCACTCTGAAACACATAAATGTTTAGTCGCGTACCTTTAGCTGATGATTTCAACCATCTTGCGCTTTGTGCTCGTGCAACTTTATCTCACCAGGCTGAAAAAAAGATTCACTCAATTCTAAATTGTGGACAACTTTCATTCAGGAGTAATTTAGGTAACTCTAAGGATGAAATTATGCATATACAGCAGATTGTCACCAGTAATAATGGCAATATTAATCCTAGTATAATACCTACTAATAGTGGAAATAATACCATTACTGCTATTACTACTACTACTTCCAACAATAATGTCCAATCAAATCGATGTGTAACTGTACGTCATTCAACTAATTCTAATGAACGTGTAAAACGTCATCATTGTACAGATTGTTCAAAATCATTTCATCGTGCCAGTGATTTAGTTAAACATCGTCGTACTCATACAGGTGAAAAACCATTTGCTTGTATGCAATGTGGTCGAGCATTTGCCGATTCAAGTAGTTTATCTGCGCATAAACGAATACACACTGGAGAACGTCCATATCATTGTTGTGATTGTGGCAAAAGTTTTTCCGTATCAAGTAGTCTGGTAAAACATAGACGAATACATACCGGTGAAAGACCGTATCGTTGTGAATTTTGCGGCAGATCATTTTCCGACAACAGCAGTTATAGCGCACATAAAAAACGTAGTCAGCGGTGTACACCTATTACCAGTAATAATAACAACAATACATTTAATCTTGTTGGTAATGTAGGAGATTGTGAGAAAACAAAGTGTGAGGGTTGTGCTTTTCTCGATCCACATACACAAGCAGTTATACATCCTGCAGCGGCGGCAGCAGCTGCCGCTGTATCTGTTGAACACTTTTTAACTAATTCAAATATTGGTATGTCTAAAATAAATGGTGGTGAATTTTGTCCAACTTCTTTAAATTTAACATTTCCTAATCCACCAAATACAAATACTATGTCAGCTACAGCATTAACATGAATTACATTGAAAATTGTTGCATTTGACATAATAATGTATAAATATGATTTTAGTAGTATATATATAATGTTTGCTTTTACCTTACTGAACCTACTAGAAATGGACACTGTTTTAATTCACTACGACAATCATTAGTGTTTTAAATTTCCAATAATATCAACATATAAGTATTACCAGAACTAATACATTTGCTCATTTTTTCGCGATACACTCATTTCATTTTTCGTAATTTACTCATCCTTTCAAACTGTGTCCACATGTTTTTGCTCTTTGTGGGAAATTATAAAAGAAATTATTGTGTGAGTGATGAATATGTTGTTTGAACTCAAATATACTACTTACAAAATAAGCATGTGTATTTGCAAGTTGGTTTTTATGTCACTTTCATTGTTTATTAGAATATTATTACAGTTTTTCTTTGTTACGATTGTACATCACCAAACATTATTCTGGTGTGTATACATCCTATTGTGTTTCTGACTTTTGATTTCTACAAGTTCTTATGCATAAATATTTATATGTTGCATAAGTATTATTTCAAATATCACTTATTGTTTTATCAGTCAATCGTTGTTTTTGTTCGAATAAACTTGTTATCTAATTCGCATCTCTTCGTGGTACTTTGATAGACTAATGTTCCTGTGGAATTTTCAGTAGCAACAGTATTTAGTTGAACTGTCAGCTTCTTCTTAGTCATTATGATGACTGCAATTACCTGTCTCAGTATTCATCATATCTTTATGGTTGATATGTCGAAAAAATAATACAGTTCTCTTTTTATTCGCTACGATAGTTCTACAAAATTACAGTGGGATAATCACAGGTATAAAATATATTGAGTGTGCTTATCCAGTTAGAAGTCCCAAGTATATACAATACAACTTTTATTTGCTTCTACCGTTTAGTGCTAATTACGACCATAGACTACTGATTAATACTATACATATTAAAAATTTAGTCATGACTTGACGTTTGAAAGTAATGCAAGAAGGCACGGGTTTATATTTGTCTTAGACCGGAGTTTCCGATATAGAGATAGACGAGCTGAAGCTTCAAATTTGTGTCGAGTTTAAGTAAGCGAAAAATGTACCAGTTGTTTGGTTTTATATTTAATGTGCTTTACTGAAAAATCACGCTACCTATATGTTTTACTATTCGCTCTATAGAATACAGTACACAGTAATTAATAGACAACATAAGATTTCTAACAACTTATTTACGTATTAGGGTGTTTGCATCTCAATCCTAAAAATGGTGAACGGGAATGGCATAATGTGCTCATTGGTAAGATCTCTAATTGATTTCTACACTGCATATCTACTCTGACCATCGAACATAATCTGATTCTTGTATTGTTTCGCTAGTGATTTTTAGAGTAGGATTGCGCCATAGATACAGAAATACTTGCTAGTGTTTCCAAATAAACATGAATGGAAATATCATTTTTCAGAAGTGATATCGTGCACTCTAGATAACCTGCTTATTTCAGATCCATTTACAAGTTTTATTTGATAAAATTTGTTCACATTATATTGATCGACCAACTCTACTGTCTTAAAACATTTGCCTTTATGGAACAGCTGAATATTTTGGAGACCAGTGGTAAATATTTACGGTTCTAGAACTTGTTCGTTTCACACTTATGTACGTGTAACTGGGTACTTAAAAATGGGTATATGGACTGATTTTTAAGGGGTTGACTTATCAGGAGATTTATTTGTTAACCGAAAATACGCAGGAGATATGGATTTGCTTAGTAAATACGCTGACAAAATGCAGTCTTCTGACCACCACAATTCATGTATGTTTGGAATGTGATTCTTCGCTTCCTTCGAAGTGTGAAATCTTGCTCCAGGATTGGCTTGCATTGGCTCCTGAATCGATGACGAGTGAATTGTCTGGACTCACTGACTTCTGCATATATCTTGGAAGTCTCACCATTCCTAATGGTTTAGTGTCTGACAATATCTAGGTACAGATTCAGGATGCTCGACTGGCTTTTGTCAAATTAGGTCACTTGTGGCGTAGGAGATATATCCGTCTGTAAACTAAAGGACGAGTTTACTAAGTAGTCCTACTTTATGGATGTGAAACGTGTCCAGTAAGAGTAGAGAATATTGATAGGCTACCGGTATTTGATCATAAGTATCTTCGAAGCATTGTCCGTGTATTTCTGGATCACTAGGTAAGCAATGACTGGGATAAGAACAAAGTATTAGATAAGAATGGCAAACCGATTGATGAAGTAGTAAATCTTCATCAACTGAGGTGGTTGGAAAGTGTCATACGTATGCGCAATCACCGCTTACTTCGACGGGTGATAACTAGTGTGGGAGTTAAGTAGAAGAAACTTGGGTGCGGCCAAATCAAAACTTAGTATCGGTCCATTCATTCATTGACAACTGAACCACTGTTGTGAGATAGTAACTCACGGAAGACAATGGTGGATGTGTCGCTCAATTCCGTGTATTATTTGAAGTTAGATATTAACACCGTTGGATGTCGGATCAATACTCTAGAGGTTAAGCGTCTATGCGCGAGATTCAAAGGTCCAGGATTCGAGTCCCGCGTGCGGGGTCATGGATGCGCACTGTTGAGGAGTATTTCATTGAACTCTTGTCTGTCTGTTAAACAATAAGTTACTTCCTGCCCAGTTTGCACTCTACATCACTGATTTTATCCTCTGATGCATTTGAAACACATTGTTCGTGAACTTTTCGTATTCTGAGTCTTAGTCACCTAGTAATTTGAGATTAAGCAATTCCGTGAGTCAGATTTAGTTAAGATACCTTAATAACCTAAGTTCATTCTTGTTCTGTTCCAATAAATTTTGACTAGATCGCTGAAGAATTATTTAATCCAAGTATCGCAGCTAAATGTCACCGTGATCTATTCTTAATCGAAGAAAATTTATTTTAAAGAATACTAAATTTCTTTCATTAAACTGCAGTATCAACTACTTTACAACTTGATAGGGAAAAATGAATACAAATAACATTTCTAATATTAAGTATTTCACTTAACGGTAAGTAACAGTGTTAAGAACCCTTCACTCATCTTAATTAGAAAATCACTTCACTAGTTACAATCATATAATAACAGAATATGTACAATGCTTGTTGATTAAAATTACTGAGATTTCTATAAACCAATATAAAGCGAAATTCAATCAAAAGAGGAAAGTTATAAGATGAACATTGGACAGAATACAAGTGGATATGAAAAAATGTATGTGAAAGAGCAAGAAGCTTAAAATTTAGATAAATGACAACTGATTTTATATACGTCATTTTGCTAGATTTTTAACTTTGTTATCGCAACAACAAAAAAACAGCCGCTAATCTGGATATGATTTTGCGTATATCAATCAGTAGATCTGTACTTTTTAACACATCAGAGGCAGAGACGTATATTCAGTGACTTCACCGAATTGTTACCATATACGAGTCATTTTTACGCTATTTATAATTCCTTTTCAAAAATAATATGAACGTAGAGTGACTAATATTTCATATAATTTAACTATGAAAATTTTACTACATAAACTTTATTATCTGTAAGAAAGCACGAACAAAGAATTCAGCAGAATAACATAGATGCATTTCGTCAAGGTTTCGTATCAGCAGCTTGTAACCGATGGTATTTCAAAATAACAAAAAAATATATTTATTACATTGAAATTGATTAGATGTATATGTGCATATATCATTATTGTTATAACGGGCGGTATCCGAGATCTAATATTGATACACAATGTCCCAAGTTGTGGGAAATTTGGTGAAATTTTCAAAGTCAAATGACCTTCAAGATTTAGTGGAAATTTTGGGATTTTGGTGCCATTTTCCCCAAAATTGGGCATTGGGATGCTACACGCTAACCTCCCACTTGACTACTTGAGCGAGAACATAATATCGAACGAGAAGATATATTTTTCTATCGAATAATTTGCACAAATACTCATTTATATACATTCATATCTACCCTTTAGAAAACGAAACCATTTTTTGGCCAATTATATTCATTTGTCCTTCTGGTCATTTGAGATTGCCCACAAGTGACCTCATTTAGTTACTTCTGATTGGGTCACCATATCAATTATGATGGGTTGGCGATTCAAGCAGAATGTAATGAGATTGAAGGAATAAGAAAGTTGTAAGTAATGATATATATATATTCAAGGTTTATCTTGAAAAGATTAAATTTAAAGAAGCTATTGGTAAAATGCTGTATTATGCGGAGTATGTTGATGGTGCTTTTGTTGCATGCAATGGTTAACAATAAGCAAAATATCTGCTGAACCTTTTCAAATACGCCCATTAAAGTATCCAGTTTACTATGAAACATTAAAAGAATAACAAGTCACACCTTGACATCACTATAAAACAGAAGGAGGATGGTAAAAATTAACATTTACTTTATCAAAAAGGAATACATGAAATGGAGTTTATTTGACTTTCAGAGATTTTGATCAATTAATTATAGAATGTTACTGGTCAAGGGGCTATTGTACATAATAGGAAGGATATGTACTACGGAACCGCTCGAAGTAGAATTAATGAACGTTAAAAATTATCTAAGAAACAACGGGTATGTATAGAAATTTATTGGGAAAAGTAAAATAGAACGCCTGAAGAAACCATACTAGACAAATACTTATTTTTATTCAGCTTGAATCCAAAGGTGATGATGTTGCAGCAACAATAAACAGAAGATTAATGATCATACTGACCAGAACATATCATGCAGTCAAGTTGATTAGTTTACACGAAGCAACATTCTCTCTACAACAATCTAAGATTAATTGGTATCTATGCGTATTTAATTCTGAACGTATCTCCCCACGTATCTAGGTAGGTAGAACAGAAAGGTCATATGTTCGGTTCCAAGAGCATGTCAATAATCCTAGGTCAAAGGGAATAAGTGGTTTCAGTAGTGTTATTTCTAAACACCTCTGACAAAGAACACTAGGTTGATTCACGGGAATCTTTTAAGACTATCAA